ATAAGGAAAATGGAAACAAAAATTATGTGGAGGGTTGTTTTTTTTAATTGTTATGCAATGAATAAAACTTTTTAAAAAATTATAGCCTTTATAGATCTACATTACTACAGAGCCAGCTAAGGCATGGTTGAAAGCGCATCTCAAAACTGTGATGATTCTTTTCCCTGTGGTGCACACCGTGATGAGCTGCCCACATGTCCCAGTGGAGGAGGATGTGTGGCCCCAGGTGCTGGGTGGGCTGCATGGGTATCTTTCGGGGATGCCTCAGCGGGAGAAGGTGGTTTCTGCAAGATGGTGCCCTTTCTACCCAGGCTGATATCTCACGGCTGATCTCTTAGAGATGACCTTGGCCCGGCCAGCTCAACCCATCTGGAGACAACTCTGAAGGGCCATTCTACCTCCAGAACTTTCATCTACCCAGTCCTGACTTCTCTACCATTTTTGCAAGTGCTAATCCCAAGATGGCCCCTTAATAAACACACTGCCTGGTAAATGCCATCATAGTGTCTGCAATATTGCGACACAATCTTTTATTAGAAAACTAGGAAGACATTTATTAAAATATAAAGACTCTCATTTATTTCTCAATAAAAGCTGTGTGCTAAATTAACTGCAATATAAAGTTCAAGTTATTATTTTGAAATGCCCAATATGGAAATGCCTTACTTTGAGATCCAGAACCAGTACTTAGACAAATGACACCCTGAACACCTGTGTGTTTGTCCCCACATTCTGTGCTATGTTTCACGGGCAAAGAAGGGATAAAGATAATTTTCCACAAGCAGCCAGACATTTGATAACATCTGATAACTCAAAGAAGCCAGTCTCATCCCCTAAAACTTCCATCATCATCCAGAAATAGAGCTGGAATAACACAGGAGACACCCAATGTGAAAGGAAAACATTTCTTTCACAAAGAAAGCATTTGAAAAACAATATAATGTGGAAAACAGTAATTTATGTTGAGCAAAATTCTTAGGAAAAAAAGTAATTTATGTGCCTACCCTAGACAAAGACTTACATAAAACAACTATTATAATTCTAATAAATTAGTATCATGTGAATTTACTTTGCCTCAAACCTTATCTGTGGAACAAAACTAAGTATAATAAATCTTCTAGCTATGATCAGAGGGAATTCCAACATTTGACAAAAAGCAGAAATGCTGTTTCAACAGAACTTGATAAAGCATTGTGTCACAAAAAGGTAAAACACATAGGCTTCTAAGAAAAAATTTCCAAATTAAAACAAAAATATTTGTAACCTGTTACATGTTGAATTGTATCTCTCTTTAAAAAACAATAGGTTTAAGCCTTAACTCCCAACTCCTCAAAATGTGACTTTATTTGGAAATGAGATCTTTACAGAGATAAGGACATTTAAAAAAGGTCATTAGAGTGGATTCTATTCCTCTATGACTGGTGTACTTCGTAAAAAGCCATTTAGATACAGAAAACGTGGGAAGACTGTGGAGACACGGAAGGAGCTGCGGTGTGAAGACTGGCGCTAGGCTGCCCCAAACCCAGGAACACTGCTGCTGCAGTTGCAGAAGACACAGAGGACCTGCCCTCCCCAGGCTTCAGAGGGAGCACGGCCTTGCTGACACCTGGACCGGAGACTCCCGGCCTTCAAAGTGTGCACAACTATTCCGATGTCCACTCAAGGAGACTAATAATAACCTAGCATTTAAATTACTGATGTGGATATTTTCTCATCTTCTAACCCTTGTATTAAGCTATATGATTTGATATATTATATAAATATATAAATGTTATATTAAGAAGAGGTGGTAAGAATACAAAAAACTATACAAAAGAAATCTTAATAAAACAGAAAACCATGATAGTATGATCACTCACCTAGAGCCAGACATCCTGCAGTGGGAAGTCAAGTGGGCCTTAGGAAGCATCACTACAAACAAAGCTAGTGGAGGTGATGGAATTCCAGCTAAGCTATTCCAAATCCTAAAAGATGATGCTGTAAAAGTGCTATACTTAACATGCCAGCAAATTTGGAAAACTCAGCAGTGGCCACAGAACTAGAAAACATCAGTTTTCACTCCAATTCCAAAGAAAGGCAATGCCAAAGAATGTTCAGACTACCACACAATTGCATTCATCTCACACACTAGCAAAGTAATGCTTAAAATTCTTCAAGCTAGACGTTAACAGTATGTGAACCAAGAACTTCCAGATGTTCAAGCTGGATTTAGAAAAGGCAAAGGAACCAGAGGTCAAATTGCCAACATCCATTGGATCATTGAAAAGCAAGATAATTCCAGAAAAACATCTACTTCTGCTTCATTGACTATGCTAAAGCCATGGACTGTGTGGATCACAACAAACAGTGGAAAATTCTTCAAGAGATGGGAATACCTGACCACCCTACCTGCCTCATGAGAAACCTGTATGCAGGTCAAGAAGCAACAATTAGAACCAGACATGGAACAATGGACTGGTTCTGAATTGGAACAGGGTACGTCAAGGCTGTATATTTCCACCCTGTTTATTTAACTTATATATGCAATACATCATGCGAAATGCCAGACTGGATGAAGCACAAGCCAAAATCAAGATTTCCAGGAGAAACATCAATAACCTCAAATATGCAGATGACACCACCCTTATAGCAGAAAGCAAAGAGGAACTAAAGAACCTCTTGATGAATGTGAAAGAGGAGAGTGAAAAAGCTGACTGAAAACTCTACATTCAAAGAATGAAGGGCGGGTATCTGGTCCCATCACTTCATGGCAAATAGATGGGGAAACAATGGAAACAGTGACAGACTTTTTATTTTCTTGGGCTCGAAAATCACTGCAGATGGTGACTGCATCCGTGAAAGTAAAAGACACTTGCTCCTTGGAAGAAAAGCTATGACAAACCTAGATAGTGTATTAAAAAGCAAAGACATTACTTTGCCAACAAAGGTCTGCATAGTCAAAGCTATTGTTTTCCCAGTAGTCACATATGCATGTGAGAGCTGGACCATAAAGAAGGCTAAGTGCCAAAGAATTGATGCTTTTGAACTGTGGTGCTGGAGAAGACTTGAGAGTAACTTGGACAGCAAGGAGATCCAACCAGCCCATCCTAAAGGAGATCAATCCTGAATATTCATTGGTAGAACTGATGCTGAAGCTGAAACGCCAATACTTTGGCCACCTCATGAGAAGCGTTGATTCATTGGAAAAGACCCTGATGCTGGGAAAGATTGAAGGCAGGAGGAGAAGGGGATGACAGAGGATGAGATGGTTGGATGGCATCACCGATTCAATGGACATGAGTTTGAGCAAGCTCTCGGAGACAGTGAAGGACAGGGAAGCCTGGCATGCTGCAGTCCATGGGGTCGCAGAGTCAGACATGATTGAGTGGCTGAACAACAACACATCATGCTATAGATAATGGATACACACATTACATATATGCTATATACACATTATATCTTATATACACATTATTTATGTGTTATATATATAATGTATGTATACATTATATACATCCTATACATACATTATATATATTTTAGAGAAAACAGATATTATACACAGAACTGAACTTTGTGTTCAGTTATATGATTTGATACAATATACACTATATATGGAATAGATACATAATTCACAAAAACACATACATGAAAGTCTATTTTGTATATTTTGTTACAAAACTGGTTTCAAAAGCCACAGTTGTTATTTCATCACTATTTTATAATATCCTACATGCCTATTCTTATAATAAGCATAATTTTAGGTTGAATATTCAACTTATCAACCCTGTGAACTGTAGCCCGCCAGGCTCCCCTGTCCACAAAATTCTTCAGGCAAGAATACTGGAATGGAGTGAGTAGCTATTCCCACTCCAGGGGATCTTCCAGACTCAGGGACTGAACCTGGGTCTCCTGCATTGCAGGCAGATTCTTTACCATCTGAGCTACCAGGTCAGCAACTGCAAATTTCAACCTGGGTTTAAGAATCTGAATTCCAGCAGGGCAATGGAGTATTTGCTCCAATTCTGAACAACGACTTCTTTGCTGTTACTATAATTGGGTGATGAAGCTATAGCATAATGTTAATAAAATGCAACTCTTTCACTCAAACTCTGTTCTTTTTAGTTAATGTCATAACTTCCTAGGTGAGTGTGTTAACAGACCTGATGATTAGGTTAAAAGATATTGAGAGAAGAAATTAGAGTGATTTAATTTTCAAGAATCAAGTTCAGGGAAGTTGCTCACAATTTGTAATAATAATAATGAGTAAATGGCTGAAGACACTTCTCAGGTTTTGATTAGATCCTCAGTGCAGTGTTGGGATGTCACATAGTGTCAGTTATTTCAAGTTTTTCATATATCCTACAAAGGACATCCCACCCTGCCTTTACCATCACCTCATAATCGAAAGGAACACGAGGACTCCCAAAGATTTAAGTTCAAGCTAGGAAATAGGAGGCATAGAAGAAGTTATCAGCAAGCATACTGAGCTATATGTGAATATATCTCCTGTAAGAAACATCTCTGGCTGGAAATGGTGAAAGTGCATTAGGGACTGATTATACCTCTATACAGAAGGCTACCACTTGTCATTCAGAGTAACCATATCATTATAAACAATCAAAACACTGTCCTGCACAGATAGTGGTCCCAGAAAAGTCAGAGAAACAGACCTAGTTCATTGATTTTGACCTCTGTAGTTTGCTGTCTAATCATTCACATTTTGGATGTGACAGTAGAACCTAGACATAACTGATGCTTTAACAGGGCATGTACCCAATGTCAGGAAAATACAGTCCTTCATTCAAGGATAATGGGTGTCTTGCCATAATCACAACATGTCAGCATGTACAATTCATTTTCTTTTTCTTTTAATTAGTACTATATTATTCTGCAATTAATATAACTTTAAATATTTTAAGTTTCCTGTGTTAAACTGATCTTAGAGTCAGGCATACTCACCAGAGCTTGCTCAGGGAGCTCACTGCTGGCCATTGCTGGAAATCTTCCCAATGGCTCCATTATAATTGTGAGGAAAGTGATTTCACAGTACTCTTAGGATACCTGTAAGTTAATTATATTAATTAGTTTATACTTTCAACCTTGACATTTTACTGGTAGCTCGAATGAACTGCAAGGGCAATATGTTATTTATTGTGAGTTATGGGAGAAGAATATGCTGAAGACAAATTTAATCTTTTAACAATTTGCTTGGGAAAGCAAACTGTTAGTGACCTCCGAGGATGGACAGTGATGAAGAAAGAGAGGAGGGGAGAGAGAGGGAGCAAGAAAGGAAGGTGGTGGGGAGAGGTGGCTATTAGAATTAGCACATTGAAAGTAAACAGGAAAAAGTGATGTTTAAATTGGGAAACTCTCAACAGTCAGGACAATGAGCAAGTTCTGTAGGCAAAGCTAACTATCTGAACATTCATTGTGTTTCCACATCCATTTTGCAAATCCCTTGAAATTAGTAAGGGTATTCAGTGCTCTTTGTTAAGTGATGTTCAGCTATTTCCATTTTGATTGTAAACTTCATGTTATCAGAAATCCTGTACTTATCAGTTCATGAAATAACTTCTGTTATCAAATAATGCTCTCAGCTACAGAAAAGCTTAAAATAAAGCAAATTTTACTGTTCTCTATTAGACTACACCTAGAATAGTAAAAGAAATATTCTAATGGGTAATGACCTTTAAAATGAATCTTCAATGAACTGACATTTTTAGATGGGCAGAACAGATAAATAGAAGTAACAGTGAGAAGTTATCTAGATTGCTGCTAAATGCATACACTATGTCATAGACAAGGATTTCAACTTGAGGTTTTCTGAGTACTGCATATATTATCAACCCAGGTAACCTAATCTGTATTGACCTTAATTTTATCATATAAATAAGGGATGTTAAAGACCAACCTCATTAGGTTGTTGGAAAATGTGAGATATGCAGGCAGTCATAGAGCATGCAATGTCTGATATGTGTAAATACTCAAAAGTGTAGTCATCATTTTTATCATCATCCTCACATCAAAGTGCCATTTAAAGACTGTATTAAATTACTGTGGATTTCCTTTATATTTCAAGTGAAACAGGAACAATAAGAATAGTAGACAATAAAATAATAGAGCTCTTGAGTGATATAATAAAATCTGGCACATTATAAAATTATTACTTTTATTTTTAGATAATCATTACATATATTAAACAATCTTATATAATATCAATCAGTAATATCAGATAATTACTTCAGCCATTTTTGGTTCTAGTTTACAAAAAGTTAATCAGATATTAATCCCTGAAAATTGTCAGGACATTTAAGTTTAATTTCTTCAATTCAGAGATTTTCTTATTTTTCTTTTTCTCCTCCTTGCTATTTCAACCTAGGCTTGTGTAATGATTGTGTTTGAAGCATCACAACTAAAATCTACATCTCCAAGTTAAAGCTATAGTTATGTACAGAAGTATAATAGTAATGTACAAACCAGCTTTTCCAATTTTCTCCTGCTATAGTAATGATCCAGATCACTGGATCTGTTTATTTAGATCCAGATCAAGTTTATTCTTGACTTGACAGGTTTGGACTTTTCACCTTATTGAGTTGGCATTATTCATGCTACATCAATAGAGGGGATAGAAGCAGAGCATGATGGATCAGACTTAATTCTTTCTCTATCTGGCTTCTGTGATGACTCAATTACTCTCAACAAACAGCTCTTGGAGACAGAGTATACCAAGTATAAAACTCCCTTAGATTCACAAAGAGCAAAGCAATTTATATTAGCATTTTCTTTTCTGTTCAGATCACTATCCAGAACTGATTTTCTTTTTTCAGTAATAGTACTCAAGATCTCTCAACATTACTGCACAGATATGAAAATTTTTGTGCGATTTTCTTGAAGCCAACACAGATACTTTTGACTCTCATCTTGTATAGAGGGAAAAGGATCCTTCAAATGATGTTCTGTTATCTATTCAATTATAACTGAGATGATTCAAGTAGATTGTAAGTTCTTTAATATAGTCATTATTTCACTATGTATTTACATACTAATCTAATCTATATGAAGATATGATATCATCTTAAAAACACCTATTGAATTGAAAAGTAATATATCATTGATAGTTTCATTTAGGAAAAAAAGGGAATGAGAATATTCAAGGAAATAGTCTGCTAAGTCAGACTCGCAGGAAAAAGATTTTAGACAATATCACACTTTACTATTGATTTCAAGGATACAAATATCCATGAGGCAGAAATAAAGCAAGAAATAATGGATCACCAGGACAGCTCCTAAGGTGCTTCTCTGCTGTATCAGGACATAGCTTGGCTAAATCTGATTTAGATGAGTTCTCGAAGGGCTGTAGGTGTCATCACTTACACAAAACAAGTCAGTCTGATCATGAAATATTACATTTATTTCTGTGGACATTGTAACAAATCACCACAAACCTAGGGCCTTAAAGCAGCACAAACTTATTATCTTACAGTTCTGCAGACTAGAAATCCAAGGTGGGTATCACTGAGATAAAATTCAGGAAATTGAAGCAGAGGAACATTAACCACCCTACCTAAATATGTATAGATTGTACAAGCTAAAAGGAGGCATTCAATCCATAAGTGATGTCAAAGCCCATACCCCTAAGGGTATTGGCTCCTTAACTAGGACTAGAATTACTACATAACCATCTTCTACTGGGGTTCCACAGACTCTGGGGAGAAACTAAATCACAGGCTTTGAACACATACCCACATAAGCCCCAGGAATCTCCAAAACCATTCATACCCACCCCCTTTCTTTTTCCTCACTTAAGGAAAGAAGAACATGATGACAGTACACATGGTAAGACTGAAGAGGTCCAAAACTAAGGAAAACCCAAAATGTAAACCACATTTTTCAGTGTACAAAATGGTACAAACTTAATTTATACTACAAATGAATCAATCATTTAAATCTTATGACAATGATGTGTGGCATAAACTTACTGCTCAAATCACAGTGGGTAGTTAACCTCTGGGTGGGCTATGTGCCAATGTTATCCTTGTAAGCTGTGTCTTCTTGGAAGTATGAGTTAGGTGTCTAAGCACTGTTGAACTTAAGCTTCACCTTTCTAAATTAAGTCAGTTAAATGTCAGGTAATAATTAGGGGTATTTTATGAATGTTCCTGAAAAATGAGGCTTGTTCCATGTTGTATATTATATCTCTAGTTTTTGAAATTTAGCAAGTTAGATATTTTAATATAAAAGATCACCATTCCTGGTATTTTTAAATATAGGTTGCAAAAATTAATATTTATTATGTTATCATGGTATAAAAATCTAAATGAATAAATCATTAGATACTGAAATTTGAATTAATACATATCAAATGAGTTGTGAAATGCAAAGCTCTGTGTCTTTGGTTATAAAACTGAAATATGTATGTACATTGTGTATATACCAAGAAAATAATGTCATTATTACATATTTTTCTAATTAAAAATCTAGCAATTGCCTTTTTATTTATCTTTATTGAGATTCCTGGGCTGGAAAGTGCAATAAAACTAAATTAGATCAATACACCTTAGCAAGATCTAGTTAGTAACAGGCTTAGAAGGAAACTGCTTTTGTTATTGACTTATAATAAATCTTAAGTTTTTAGTTAAAGCAAATGCATATTTTAACAATAGTGAGGAAGACAGTTGTGTTATTTCTTTAAAAAAATTCAACCAAATAAAAGTATGCTTTCTGTAAAACTCTCCAATTCTGTTTTGATGAAAATATGACATACCTAAAAAAAGGTAATCCAATATATCAAGATTATGTGTACAAAGGTCTTAACTGATACAAAATATTTCTGATTGTGAAAGCAAATCATATTTTTGATAGCATTTAAAAACATAAAAATTATAAATAAGATTATAAAAATCATTTTTGAAAAAGACTTCATATAGCCACAACACTTTGCACTATGCAATTAAAAGTTGATGGTATACATTTATTTTAATGGCTTGCTCCTCAGTTTAAAATGCCTTAAAAGACCCAGCATTGATGATAATGACAGATCAAGTGAGATCACTGAAAATGCACCAAGTACTTCTAAAATATTTCATAAATATGACATAAAAGAATAACAAAAACAAACAGCAAATTACCTTAAAAACTAGAGATAAGCATATACAGTGAATATTACTTGCACAGCTAGACACCTGTCTGAAAATCCAGGCAGTTAAAGAGCTAAACATTTAATACATTATCAGATAAAAAGTTATTTCTAGAATGTATGGGAAAGTGACTATGTTGCCAAATAATTTACAAGTTGAATGCAATCTTCTTAATTTCAGAGTAAAAGTAATTCTTGATTATGTAATTTGCCAAAATTAGTATCAGAATTATGTTGAGGCCAGGTGTCAGTAAACAAAAGTGCATGACTTTATATTCAGTGACTCCATACTCCTTGTCACTCCCTATCTTGCTCTTTTCTCAGTTCCTCGGTGACCAGTGACAAGGTTCACCAGCATAATTTGGTGTGGCCATAGGAGAGTTCATAGCCAGTGTCCACTCAAACCAGTCAGTGCCCATGACAAACCGCGTATTAAATAGTTTAACTATCACCTCTTTCAGTGTTTCTGGGGCCTTCTCTGATACCTATTTACAAGAGCTCTTCACAGAAAATATCATCCTGACGTTTACATGAAAGATAAGGTCAATCTGTTATCTCTCCCATGATGTTTCCATTCTAATACTGGCTATACCTAGTTTTGGATGCAGATGGTGACTGCAGCCATGAAATTAAAACATGCTTGCTCCTTGGAAGAAAAGCTATGACCAACCTAGACAGCTTATTAAAAGGCAGAGACATTACTTTGCCAACAAAGGTCTGTCTAGTCAAAGCTATGGTTTTTCCAGTAGTCATGTATGGATGTGAGAGTTGGACTATAAAGAAAGCTGAGTGCTGAAGAATTGATGCTTTTGAACTGTGGTATTGGAGAAGACTCTTGAGAATCCTCTGGACTGCAAGGAGATCAAACCGTCAATCCTAAAGGAAATCAGTCCTGAATATTCATTGGAAGGAATGATGCTGAAGC